ATGAACCTTGGGGAATTACTGCACTTGAATTAAAGCAGCCAATGCATACGCTGTGAAAAGAGTTATGTTACAGATGTAGATTTGCTCAAGCCGGCTGTACAGTGATCCTGGTTGTGCTCTTTATTGTAGGAGGGTGAAAATGAGGCTCTTTTATTCCATTAAGCTGAGGACTGGTATAGCATCCCTGATAATGTCGGGTTCCCTCTGCTATTAGCCTGTGCCCTTCCCTTGGTATTTTTGAATTCGTTTGCCTACCATTCGGTTGCTAGAGAGCTTCAGTCTTTCCTGTCGGCCTCAGTTTTTTCCCTGAGACATTTTGGGGACTGCAGTTCATTAAGGCTAATAGTTACAAGCACAGCTGTGTGTGAGTTTACCAGCTGAAATAAGCCATAAGTTCTGCTGTATAAAGGTCATCTGCTGCAGAGGAAGGTAGAAGGCTATTACTCTGTAGGTTCACTGTACTGGCAGTCCCTGAAAGTATAGGTTGCTTCTTATGAATGATTTGGGGGAAATTCTCACTCCCCCCTCCCCCCCACATACATTGCAATAAGCCAGAATCCAGCAACCTTCAGGAAAGATTGTTTTTTAGAGCACAAAAAAGAGACACATTGGACAGTTAATGATTGTGATGCTATGACACATTCTAAGAACCTTAGATTAATACTTTTGCAAGTAATATAATTTGAATTAATTTAGCAGATGCTTTTATTCAAAATGACGCAGATTTTGTGAAAGCTGAGTCGGACAGTCCCTAGACCAACTGGGGGTTAAAAGGTTCACTCAAAGGCCCAAGAGTAGGGTTACCCTGACCCTCCCCCCCCTTGGCTGTAAACCAACCTGTTTTGGGTAACAGACACGGCACCCTAACCTGCCAAACCACACACAGCGTTTGGGACATTGAATCGTACAGCGGTTCTGCGGGTATCCCTGGTTCTGTGTGTGTGTGTGTGTGTGTGTGTGTAGTTTACACATTCTCCAGATGTTTGAATGGGACCTAATACATACTAGAGTAAATATTTCCTCTGTCGACCTTCTGTTTCACCTGAAATGGTCGCTCACTGCCCTGCACGCACCAGATCCTTTCCTCTTATATGCATTAGCAAGTCAGAATTGACTTTTTAACTACGTTTGACTGTACTTGATTTCTTTACGGTTCACAGTATTTTTCCTGCTTCTGCAGAATTTGGTGTAGGGTGGGGTCTTTATACCTAATATGAAGGGCAAAAAAGGGGGATGTGTTGCAGTCACACACACACTCCATTCATGTATAGGAAAATCCCTGATCCCATCTATGATGACCTTAACCCCTACCCAGCCCTAACCTTAACCATAAGTAACCAAAGAAAATACAAGACTTTGCTATTTTTAGTTTTTTTATTGCAGTCATATATATATATACTGTATATTAGGGCTGTCAAAATTAACGGGTTAACGCAATTAACCCATCTGCAGCGCAGAATGACTCAAGATCCATGAAATGTCTCTGTCAACCCATTTCAGGCAGTTTTGGTGCGTTCCATTTGCCCTGGGAACTCGTAATCCGAGTCGGATTCTGAGTTTTGAAGCCAAAAGTGGCGGCATGCGTGCTCCCGTTTCTTGGAGATCCAAGAAATATCGGAACAGCACAGAGGATCCCGAGTTCAGAATCCAAGATGGCTGCGCCCTTTATCAACAGAAGGGAAAGTTGTAGTTTTATACTATTTAAGCACCACTACTCATTTGTGACTCATTAAATCGGTCGCACACACTATACTGTCCAACTTATCTGTGGACGTGTTGCAACTGAGTTTTACACGTAAAGTAATGTGTTATCAACTGATATTGCTAACAATGGCAATTAACCGGGCTAGAATTGGATTTCATGATTAGTTGGATTATTTGTCGGATTTATGGTAGTTTGGGCTAATTGTTAGTGAACGAAGATAAAGACCATTTAAACTGAGGTACCTTAAATCCGACAAGTTGTCCGGCAAAAAATATTTAAAAATCTTGTTTTTAAGATATGGGTCCATGGTATTGCATTTCTGTGGCAGATGGAATGCATCCGACTCATGTTCAAGATGTTCAATAAACATGTTAAGTGCATATATATTCCCTTTTTTCTTGAGTCTGTTTGCTCATGCAAAATGAAATGCGATTAATATAGATTAAAAATGAATGATATTTAATCGTGATTAATTGAAATTAATCCACAGCAACCCTGTGATTAATCTGATTAAAAATTTTAATTGTTTGACAGCACTAATATATATATATACTGTATATATTTCAACTTGTGTAGGCAAAAAATGATCCCCACAGCATCAATATAACAGGTTTTTCGTCTCCCCACAATGTAATATATACCACCCCCACACACATGTGCACACACACACACACACACACACACAAACCCAAAAGCAATACAATTCCTCCCTCTGCGATCAAAGCCGTTTCATCTATGTGACAAACGTCGGCGGGGCATATCTGACCCCATGACTTCATAGATATTTTACCATGTGTCACACTGGCTTCCTCTTTATCTTTCAGCACCGGTGATGCATGTGTTCAGCTCTACATGTGCTCAGCTATTAACCTGCACTGTTTATACCCAAAATACTCCTCATATGTTGTTCTCATAGTCCATGGTGCTTTGTTGATGAGTTAATAAATGTCTCTGATCTGTACTCCTGGGTATCCTGCTGAATTAACCATCTCTGTCAACTTACTGTCACTGCAAATGAATTGGTCCTGAGGCCACAAACGTCCTGTTTTAGATTCTAGCAGAAGCCCTGATTTTTCCACACACCAGTAAGGTGTCCTACTCATTTCTCATGCACTTTACAGCAACCTGCTGTTGTGTTTACTTCCCGATTTCTACCTCGGCATCATCACCACTGAGAGAAAAATTCACTCAGGTAAACATGCTGTAAGGCACCCGTGCTCCTGTTTAATTCATAAAACACTCCACAGGTACAAGGTCACAGCTAATAACTTTTAATGTCCAAATATATAAGTATTAAACTGTTTAATTAGTTAATAAGAGACGGTCTTGCATGACTGCCCAGGCAGATATGTAAAAAGATAAATTAAGGTGACATACAGGAGACATCTCCGTCCGTTCACGCTGTTCTTACACCTAATTCCCATGGCATTGTAGATATATCTTAGCTTATCTAAAAGAAAGTAAATATTCCATCTTAAACTGTTTTATATTTCGGCTTTGATGTTAACATCACTTGGGCAAAGCAGCGCATCATTAACTTTCGCCAGTCACACTCTATTAAAATCTGAACGTACAGAAAATGACGGAAGGTAAAAATATGGGGATAGGGGGGAGGGACGGGCTGCACCCGGCAGACTGACGCCTTTAATTACTCAACGCAGGTATGATTGCGGTCGAGATACTTTGACAGATATTTTATATTAATTCGCAGCAGGCAGTAAAACGACGAGAGTCTGGGTATTTGCTCGATTTTACGCCTCTTTGCGCTTGTAAGACTCCCTTAATATCCCTATCGATTCTTAATTTCCCCTCCCGTTTCGTCCTGCTGTCACTGTTTGGTAATGTCTTTTTTCAGTTATTCCGCGCACTTATCGTCGTTTGTTTTTGGTTTTATTTTCTGAAAGTCTCTCGTGTTCTTACATGGTCGTATGCAGCCCAGTACAGGCGTGCTCTCTGGACTGATAAAACCAAAAAACATCAGCAGTTACTGGTCAGCGTTGCCTGCTGTAGACTGGTTTTACTTTCTTGTTCTTACAAGAATACCTGTAATTTAAATGACCATTTATTCAGCTGCATCCTGATTGTGCAGATTAAATAATTACCCAACAGTGCTTGGAGGCTAAATTGGAGAATAAATTACATTTTATTACCTTCTCTAATGAATGACAAATTACCTATATCTCATAAATATGATAAAATGCTTTCATGGGGAATTTATAATATATTTCATGCATTCATAATACATTTAATACATAATATTTCATCATACTTCACAAATCCCAGAGAAGCAGGTTCTATTTTACTTATATCATGTTAAAGTATATTATGCTTGCCCTGTAGCCATAGTCATCTACCTTTCTAACATTTTATGATTTCTTTAAAATTATTATTATGATTACTTTGTGGCTTCTGTGATTGTAATAGGATATAACATGGACCTTGTACTTCAGAAAGCAGCATTCATTAACCCCCCCCCCCCCCCCCCCCGTGTTATTTAGTACTGTGGCAGGTCACGGGGGCTAATATTACCCCTGGAAAATGTTCTGTCTGGTTATAACTCTCTCCACAGTGAAATTATAATACGGTATTTCTAGTTAAACTGGAAGAATCTGGGCTCTGTCGTTTGTGCCCGAGGATTGTGAATTCAATATCGACTTTCATGATCCTGACGCCTATTCTCACGACGATTCCAGAGATGGCGCCAACACCGTAGTGAATCACACCAAAACTGGGCCTTGGCCCCGTACCTGCTGGTTAGGGGATCCCTTTCTATGCGCACTTAACCTGGGCCAAACTCTTCTTTTGGCATGCAGCGATATCAAGGCAAACCAGCTCCACGAGTATCTGTAATACGTATTTTTCCATCATTATAATGGAATTAAAATTTCTCCAGGTGACAATAACAGAATCAGTTGTAAACCACAGGATTTTACTTAATTTAAGACCCGCAGATTTTAATACACTTTGCTTCATGCTTTATTTTAATCTTGGCTTCTGGCTACCAGTATTATTTTAACTCCGGGTAAGCAATTTAAATCCTAATTACAGAGAAACCTCCGCTCTGCTGAAAGGGTCCATACTGGAAAAAGGAGCGTGAGGATGGAGACGCAGCAGCTCGGCTGTGACAACGCGGCTCAGCGGCCAGTTTACGGCCAGTGTTCTGTCATAAAATACTACCTATCGAGACGTACTATCGAGACTTTCTGCGCATGTGCAGTTCCACCGTTTTGGGATTAGGGTTAGGTTTTAGGGGTTCGGGCTAAGGTAAGGGTTTTAGGGGTTTTGGGGGGTTAGGGTAAGAGTTAGGGTTAGGGCTATCGATTAGCACTACGGTAGCATTTTTCGACAAGGCAGCATATATCGACAGAACACCGGCAAGTGGCTCCAGCTGCACCTGTCTGCAGAACGGCAGCTTCGCGGGCAGGTAGCCCGTGATTTATCTGTCTAGAATGTGTCTAATGTACTATCATACACGCAGTTTTGCGCAGGGCTGCATTCGACTGCGAATAAGTGTTAGTGACTCGAAGAACAACTAGCTGTTTCAGTGAATCGAGAACCATTTTTGATTCGTAAGGGTTTAAGTGTAAATGGTGCGAATTAATTAGGGACAGTGAGACGGACGGCATTATTGCTCAGGGTTACCGGGTAGGCATCCGAATTGGCCGATTCGCCCGGCTGCCTGGCGCTTTGCCTCAGTGAGATGTAACCAGCCGGACGCCTCTGCCCTCATGTTTCGGTCCTCGCCGCACGACCGGAAGGTTTTAATATCGTCATTAATCAGCCCTGTCCTCAGCATGCAGATTTATCAGCGGTGTCTCTGAAGCTTTGGCCATGTTGTCGCGTATCCCTCTGGCTCTGTCTCCATCACAAACCCGGAACATCTAGACGGGACACAGGCACACAAACAGAGCTGCGACCAGCCAATACAATGACAAATGGTTTAATTTTCATTCCATTTCACTTCATTGCATTTTACTGAGTGCAGTTTTGTTATGGGTATAAAAATTTGCTTATATAATGCTGATAATTGTAAATTATCTGTCGAAGAAATACATTTAACCACTGTTACTGCAATGAATAATAATAATAATAACTGTTCATTTTTTCAAAATTTGGAAACATTTTCAGCCATTTTATTTTGGGTTATTTGTGCTCAGTAAACTCCCCATAAGCAATTTGATGGCCCTTGGGGAGTAGTTTATTACTGTTGTCTGTGGTAGAAAAAAAAACATTCAAACTGCAGCTGATCTGAATGTATATGCATATTCTGTAAGTGCTTTCCCCCCTGCTGAAAACAGGTATACAATGAGTGCTTCCAAACCCAGAGACAGCATTCTGGCAGCGGCAGGCCTGACAGACACGCTAACTAGCTGAAGCTGGGTACACAGAAATTACCCTCCAGGTAGGAAATTTCCTAATGTGTTCTTGAGAGTGTTTTTCAGGAGAGAGCAGCCTGAAATTACCCTCTGCAGAAACGCCTGTTTTCTCCCAAATGACACATAAATCTCTTGATGACCTTTGACACTGGGCTGTGAATGAACACACTCAGAAATGCTAGGAGAGGAAAGAGGGTGTGTACAGTGTGAGGCGATATGATCTGCACCGTAAGCGAGAAAGTCACGTGAGTCGTGTGCTTAAAAATGGCAAAGTCGTGCTAACGTTCAGTAGCGAGTGAACCAGGGAATTACTGGGCCTGCAGTCCCTTTGTAGCTAAAGAGCCAAAAGGTCACACACTCATCTTTTCAGGAAATACAGCTGCACGGAATTACGACACAGCTAACAATGCATGTCAGGCCTGGTCAGTCTGAAGGCCTACCCACAATGGAATCCAGCAGTTACACTGCAGTCATTTCCCCAAAACACTCTGCTCATATTAGGCTGTGTCAGACTCCATAGTCCGTGATCTCTACACGGGGCGAGACCTCGTTTGCTCCCTACTAGGTCTGATGTTGGAAGATTTATGCAGAAACGAGATGAATTTTGCTCACAGATAGTCAGCTGGTGAAGGGAATATGTCAATGCCTGTTAGTAATATTCCTTATTCTACAAAAATTTCATGAATTGCAGTGTTCATAATTCAGCATAAATATATGCAAACTGTCAAAATACTAAAAATTCAGGGAAATGACATGCGAATTTAAATGGGACACACTGTAAACGGCTGTGATTGATGTCCACCGATACATGCTAGTTGTTGTAAATGTCATTACTAATATGTAATATGGTGTTTCCTCTTAGTTAGCAAAATCCAGCCTGGCTAGAGGCAGAGAAAGACCCAAGGGCTTTGTTCAGAAACATTTCCATCGTAAAAATACCATTTGAAATAGCTCAGTTCAGCAGCCACACTAGGGAGTTGTTCATTTCTTTGGTAAGCTTGTTTCTGATATTTTTTTTTTCTGCTGTAGGTCTCAGAGGGGAATGGCGGCTTGGCTTTTGCACAGAGGTAAATGCATCTACATGTTGTCAGTAAGCCTGGGCCATTATAGCTTATTAATGAGGTATAAACAGCCTGTCAGGATGGATGACAGATACCGCAGGAAGATCAATGGTTAACTATGTGTTCAATGAGAAATGCAAATACATTTAGTCAAAATTACTATTATTTCTTAACCAATGAGTCTCTCCACCACACCATATACTATTAGAAGATCAAAACGTACGCTGAGCATTGAGATCAGGTTGGAGGGGTGTTTCTTAGTCACAAAAAATCCAGTGGGAGAAAAAAAGATTTGTTTTGATGTAATTTTAACCAGCACTGAAACAGAGGACAAATTAATATACCGACGCGAAGAGAAATGTGTACAAAAGTGTGGATTCAATTCCCGCAGATGAAGGCTAGAAACGTAATATTGGGTGACACGCAATCGATGTCTTTTCTTTGTCAGCCTGAAACCGCAGGGCTTGCGCTATCTGTAATTGCTGTCACCGTTGGCCATGTGAAGAAAAATGAAACAGCTAATTATTTGCAACATGAGGTGATGGAATTTGAGGTAAAATAATCTTAAAATGGTATTTAAATGCGACAAGCAAGCACACATAGGCGTAGGTAGCGCCCCTGTAGGGAGCCCCCTGTTGGGCAGTCCCAGCCGTAATGGACTGTTCCTACTTTGAGACTTTATGCTATCCAGCCATCTTTTATCTTAAGCTACCGGTTGTTTCATTGCTAAGCAAGTCAGCACAGTGTAGCCTAACAGCAGAAGAAAATGGTGCAAAGATGGATAAGATATTTGATAAAATCCCACACGAGTGGTAGACAAGTTGTGAACAGATGTGTAGACAACACAATTAAATGAAGGTATGCAAAAATTTAAGGCTAACCTTAGCAAAAGAGGGAAGTTATACTTATTAAATTTAGGTGATTGATCCGTTGGCTCGATCTGGCAGATCTTACAGCAAATTCGTATATGAGGTAGAGTCCCTGTTTCGCTAAACATGTTACTTTCATGTTACTAAACCTACTAAACATGGGATAAAACTATACATGTGAAGTTTCCCAGCAACCACAGACACGGTAGGTTGCACATGCAGCTGTCAGGCGCCTGATGCTGTGTGCCGCCGTGTTTCTGCATGACACGGGGCAGCACTCACGTGTTTTATTTGGTAACTGAGGAGATGAAGAGGACCTGGGTGAGACACACCGTTCAGCTTCAGTATAACAGGCCGGAGTCTCCCTCGTGCTGTTCGCTGGTCTTCTCGGGGATATGTGGCTCCTGCGAGGGATGCCGGGCTCAGTGACACGCTGGGATCCCGACAACACGGGATGTACCTGCGTTTTCCCCAGTCCTTCGGGAACTCCACCCTCAGGCTTCATGACCGACAGCTGACAGCAAATCTATTCCTGGTTCCCATCAGTGACTGACAGTCGTAATGGAATCATTCTCCGGTGGATGTCCCAAACGTTATCGTTTGTTCATTTACGCCGTTACTCCTTTTTATTACTCACACACTAATTAGGCAGGAAATTGTGCTTTAAATAGGGGGGGGATTGACCCTGCAGCCAAATGAACACCATGAGGAGTGGCTTCATTTTTGAGCAGCAAGCTGGGTGCCCTGAGTTCCCCCCCCCACCCCACATATGTAGCTCGTTACGGCCGAGTCGCTGATATTCACCTCGATGGCTGGCCATGCCGCTTGATGCACGTAATGAGGCAGCCACCATCATTTCTCCCCGGCGCTCATGAAGTCACCCCTTCTGAAGCACCCTCTGCACTCTGCAGTAATAACAGTGAACTTTTAGATGGAGCTCTGGGCAGCGATCTGCCTCTCAAGCTACAAACCCAGACAAATTGCTTGTAAAAATTTTAGATCAATACAACTCTGAGCATGACCAGGGCTCTGGTGCGTAGAAGGATTTCTTCTCTGTGCTGTATAGGGGTTGGGGTGAGGGATGCAATGCATTTAAAATGGAATATATAAATTATTAAGTCTTTTCTGTCCATCTATCATTCTGTTAACAGCTTGTCCAGCAGAGAGACTGTCCTAAGTGATACAGGGCAGGGGACATGGTGGATGCAGTGGACGCAGTGGATGCAGTGGACGCAGTGGATGCAGTGGACACGATGCCTGTCCACCAAGCCTTTTCCTTGACGTAAATAATCTATAAATTCAATATTTTTTAAAATGTTCATCTGCAGCTTAGTTACGCATCCATCCTTCGTATATTAGCTAATAATTAATTCACTTCAGAAGTCTTATTAGCTACTATTAGTAAAGAAATAACTTACGAAATTATATTTTTTTGCCAAAGACAAGTTTTAAGATGACGTGATATCTATAAACAGTTGGATCAATTTAAGTAATTGACTGTGTATATCGATACCATAAATCGTAACTATTTCCTTCAATATCTATAAGCATGCAAAAAATGTGCTTAAACTGTGGCAGAAAGTTTCTTTTAAAGTACAATTGTGTAAGATATCCTATAGGAGGATAGTGATTGAGCAGGTCAGGAACGAAGAATTAAGGTGGGGTGGACTTTTCTGTCTGCTAGCAGCAACAGTGACAGGCAGGCGGCATGTGGAGACGCAAAACCGGGGGGGGAACAGTCACTGTCTTTCAGGGTGCGGTGACAATGCGACACACCGGGCACTGTTTCTTCATTTTCAGTCTCTGAGCGTGAAACGAAATCGTACGAATGCAAGGGAGGCACCTTTCTGCATGTTAACTGAACGAAAATATCACTGTTTTGCCAATTAAAAAAGCCCCCTAGGGGTCAGGCAGAGCGTGTACCAGAGCGGTGACACATACGGGACTTCCTCCGCGTTCAGGATGGCTTTGCCGTGTTTCTTCTCAGCTGCAGCAGTTCCTGCCACTAGTGTGATGGTTGCAGAAAATAAAGTAAACAGACATAAAGTAATGCATTTTTCAAAATGCTGTCATTTTACAAACTACAGATGCATACCTGACAACAAAGGCATTCTGCTTAACATGCTTGGATGATTCAGCAGGTCCCTGCTTTCAGAAGTGCTGGTACTCTGAACCGTCTCGATGACCTCTGGGGTCATCAGCTGTCTAGAGTCACTCTCCTCCGAGGCTCTGACCCTCATCCTCAGGGTGTTGCAGTGTAACCTGGGCCTCAGGTGACAGATTGCTGTGATTGGTGCTTTATATGAAAGACTGTCTGGCAGAACCCTCAGGCTAGCTAGTCGCACTCAGTCAGGATGACCGTGGCCATGACTCTGATGCCACTTACAGGCCTGACATGGCCCTGATCACTGGGCATTTGCAAATACATGTTTATTTGAAAACATCCTCAAAGCTGCCCCATGGGTTCGATGCTGAGGCTGGGACCGCGCTAAACTAGCCCCGTGTCAGAACACGAGGGGGCAGTGGGGCTGGTTTTGCATGGCAAACAGAACCCAGTAGCATCTCAGGGGGGGAAAGGAAAGAAGACATGATGCTTTGATGAGGAAAAATGACTTACCCCTTGTTAGCTGTCCATGGTGTTGTCCCATTAGGGTTAGGCTTCAACATAGGGTTAGGTTTAGGGTTAGGCTTCAGGATAGGGTTAGGTTTAGGGTTAGGCTTCAGGATAGGGTTAGGTTTAGGGTTAGGCTTCAGGATAGGGTTAGGTTTAGGGTTAGGCTTCAG